TTATTTTGCAACCCCTGGTGATAGCTGACCTTAGACACTGACATTAGTATCTCGATGATATTTTAAAAAGGAGAAAAAGCTAGATGTTACATATCCCTCTTGTGGAAGAAGAAAACCCTACTTACAAAGTAGATTGCGGGAAAGATATATTTGATGTAGCTAGATTCAATTAACAATTCATAGGGACATGTTTCTAGAGCTATCAAATTACAGGGAATAGAAAAGAGAGAGGACTATTAATTGGTAGTTAGAGATGCTATCAGTCAAATTCTGATGCAGAAACTTCACAGATCAAATAGCCTGGCTTCTTCAATAAATAAATGGAGGGAAAGAGCTGGAGGGAAACCTATACAGACCCAAGAGCCGTATCAGTCAGTTGCAATGTGTGAGCTTTACTTGGATCCTAATTCCCTTCCCCCAACAAAATAAGGGAATATATGAAGACAATATTCCTATGACTATTGGAAATTTGAGCACCAAGTAGGTGTTCAGTGATTGCAAGTCCCACTATTTCTTTTAATAAAACTGCTGTGGTCTCATGTGGCCGAGTTCATAAAGTCTTTATCTTTAAAAGTACATTCAGACATATTTATGGGTAAAATAACAATTTCTGGGATTTTTTCAAAAAAATATAAGGGAAGAAATGCAGACAAATATGACATTGCTCATGAATTGATCATTATAAAAGCTGAGAGATCATACTTAGTGGTTTATTATACTATTTTTTTATTTTTATTTTTTTGACAGGCAGAGTGGACAGTGAGAGAGAGAGAGAGACAGAGAGAAAGGTCTTCCTTTTGCCATTAGTTCACCCTCCAATGGCCACCGCAGCCAGCATGCTGCGGCCTGCGCACCGCGCTGATCCTAAGCCAGGATCCAGGTGCTTCTCCTGGTCTGCCATGGGGTGCAGGGCCCAAGCACCTGGGCCTTCCTCCACTGCACTCCCGGGCCACAGCAGAGAGCTGGCCTGGAAGAGGGGCAACAGGGACAGAATCCGGCGCCCTGACTGGGACTAGAACCTGGAGTGCTGGCGCCACAAGGCGGAGGATTAGCCCATTGAGCCACGGCGCCGGCCTATTTTGTTTATTTTTATGTTGAAATACTTCCATCATAAATAGTTTAAATGCATATTTCACTAACTCACTAACAAACTTGAAAAAATTGAAAACACCTAGACAAATTCTAGTGTACTTCATTATCTGACTCCTGCTTGCCTGTTCAGCACCATCTGATACTATTCTACTGTCACCTATGTGTAAACTATATAAAACTACTTTCTAGTTCCCAAAGAGAACTATGATCTCCCGTACTTCTACATGTTTGTAAATTTCCCTTTTTCTTTACTTTTTTAAAAAGATTTATTTTATTTATTTGAAAGGCAGAGTTACAGAGAGAGAGAGAGACAGAGACAGAGGCAGAGAGAGAGAAAGAGATCTTACATCTACTGGTTCATATCCCAGATGGCCACAATGTTGGCCCAGGGCTGGGCCAGACTGAAGCCAGGAGCCAGGAGATCTTCCAGGTATCCCAGGTAGGTGGAGGGGCCTAAGCACTTAGCCCATCTTCCGCTGCTTTCACAGGCACTTTAGCAGGGAGCTGGATCAGAAGTGAAGCAGCTAGGACTGAAACCAGCACCTGTATTGGATGCCTGCATCTCAGGCGGCGGTTTTACCCACTACTCCATGACACTGGCCCCAAGTTTCCTTTGCTCAAGAATGCCAAGACCCATTCTTCTGGCAAAATTCAACGGTCAGTTACACTTAGGTATTGCTGAATGCAGGTGTCAGGCCTCCTGCTGTGTCCTGGCACCTCCCGAAGTCATGGATATCCACCACACTCACCCCATCCTGCCAGCCTTCTCCGCCCCCATCTGCTCTCTAAGGCTGACCCACCTGGACTATATCAGTGGCTTTCTTGTCCTCTGGCTTCTGCTTAGACTTCTCCAGTGGTAGCCACCAGCATCAGAAGATCTGGAGATCAAGCAGAACTTTGAGGCCCCTCTATTTATACTTGTGGCTCTCTGCCTGCCCAGTGAGCACAGGCTGGCTGGGTCTTCTCAGCAAATACCACTCTTATCAAGTGGCCCTTTCCCAGCAGTTCTTCTACTGGTTCAAGTGACCACTTCTTTGTGCAGCCTCAGACTAGTAATTATCTATTGTTTCACATAAACCTAGTAGAATGTAGCCAAGTATGGCATAATGACATTTCAGTCAACTGCACGCTGCATATACCATGGTGGCCCCACAAGTCATAAAAGAGCGGAAAAATTCCTATTGCCTAGTGACATCATAGTCATCACAAAGATACAGCATAACACATCACTCAGTTATTCGTGATGATGATGGTGGAAAGAAAGCTATTGTGTTGCCGGCAGAATAAAAGTATACCATACACAACTATGTAAGGACATAATACTGATAAATCATTTGAAAAATACTTCTACTTATAAGAAAAGATTTACTATAAAACACTATTCCATGTTATTTCTATAGCAGGCTCATTTACCTTGTGTTTACTATGTCTCTTGATAACATCATTTTTATTGCATTTGATTTAATCTTGTGTTAGTTTGTTGGCCGTTATCCTAGGATCCATGATATTCCTGTGTTTATAGCATAGCTTATTACACTTCTAAGCCTAGGGAGCCAGGAGCCAGGAGATTCTTCCAAGTTTGAGTTAAGCACACTCCACAATGTTTACACACTGACAAAATTGTCTAATGACGCATTTCTCAGAATTTATCCTATCAGTATGTGAAATATGGCTGTATTTGTAAAGAGCCCCTCCATTAAACTCTCTTCCAAATACTCAGATTCAGTCTGTCATGTCTATCCTGTTCAGATGCTAACTATACAATGGTAAAGAATAGCCATCTAAACCAAAAAAGACTATTAAAAGAACCTGATAAAGATATATTGAGAAGATGAAATATTAAAAGAACATTTTACAGAGTGACAGCATGTACAATGTCTCAGCGATGCTAAAGACGTTCACATTTTTGCTTGACATGAGATTACTTGAGTGAGACATCAAAGACAGACAAGAGGAAGCCTGGAGAACCACAGGAACCTCAACTTCATAAGCCAAGTGAGGAATTAGATTTTGATCCTAAGAACAATGGGGAGTACCTAATACTCTCCTTGGCTTCCCAGGCCTGAGTAAGGGATGATCATCTCTCATCAAGCCTGAACAGTCTTCTCACGTGCAGGGCTAGGAGGCTCTGGCACATGCACATGGAAATCACTCAATAACTGTTCACTGGATCAGTGGATAAATGAACAAGGAAAACACATATGGACAGTTAATCAGATGTTGCTGTTTCCATCCTATGCTATCCTATGCTTTTTGTCACCTCCATGAACTCGTCCTTGCACATATTCTTTTTTTTTTTATATAAAGATTTACTTATTTATTTGAAAGTCAGAGTTACACAGAGAGAGGAGAGGTGGGGGTGGGGGGCTTCCATCCGCTGGTTCACACCCCAGCTGGCCTGCGCCAATCCGAAGCCAGGAACCAGGAGCTTCTTCCAGGTCTCCCACATGGTGCAGGGGCCCAAGGACTTGGGCCATCCTCTATTGCTTTCCCAGGCCATAGCAGAGAGCTGGATGGGAAGTGGAGCAGCCAGGACTTGAACTGGTCCCCATGTGGGAGTGCCGGCACTTCAGGCCAGGGCATTAACCCACTGTGCCACAGCACCGGCCCGCACAAATTCTTCCTGAACTTAATGCTATTTGCAACCTGCAATCAGCACACAACGCACTGGAAAGAAAGGCTGTCGATATGGACAACTGTGAAAAGGAAATCAATCTCAGCTCAGCCTTCTACACTGCAACAACCGTTTCATTCTAGAGACAACAAATTCAACAGGGAACACCGCCAACTTGTGCGACAGAGATTACTGCCATCATCATGATGGGTCATCCTGTTAACTTCACTAATGCAAGCGGTTGAGCAAGAGTCATTCTGAATTCACAATATGAGTGAAAAGACATGTGTTTTGGTTTGTTTAAACAAGAAGTACAAATATCTAGCTTTCATTCATAAGGTGCAGCACAAATCAAGTGGCAGCCAAATGTTACCAGTAGAAACTATTTTGATTTGCATCAGAAACTGATAGCATAGTGTGATTTACATAAGATAATTTTCAATTAAAATTTTTATTTAAAACAAGTGGAAATTTATGGATAAAACCTTCTTGAAAATACACTCATATCATAAATTTACTTTTAATGTAATCAAATAAAATTTAAATATGAGGTCATCTCAATATTGTGGCAACTGAATATTCATTCACTAATGTCACAATAATTAAATCTTTCTGTATTCATGTATTAGTGACAACGGAGATGCATAAGGAAGCAACTTGAAATTGAGTGCAAGGGTGAGCCCAGCCCTTTTTCCTTTTTCCCTGGATCCCCTTCCCATCCCATGCCTTCAGGGCATGTGGCCTTCGGGCCACCTGCTCTACGCTTTCTGGCCTGCATGCTCCCACTGCTTGGTATGAATCCATATTTCCCTCTCATTCTTAGATGGGGTCCTCACTCTCCTATGCATTTCTCTTACTGAATAGAAAGCTTAAAACTTAGAAAATAAATAAATAAATAAAATAAATTGAGTGCAAATAATCATTTTCCTTTCTACATGAACATTCAAGTCCTCAGTGAACCACAAAAGAATCAATGCTATGGCTGTTTGTCAATGTTAGAGTATTTCTGTGTGGCAAAATGCTTCTTAATTAGCTTGGAAACTTTTCATTCTGGCACAAAATTAATCAGAAAATGAACAGAGAGTACTCATTTGTTTTTGAAGTTCAAACAAATGTTTATCAACTTTCTTAGTGACATAAAGAATGACATGTTCTTATTTTCTCTAGGCAATTCTCTTTTACACAAAGTTTGTAAGTTGATAAAGCATGAAAGAAATTATACTGAAGTCCTGTGAAGTGAATTAAGTTTAAAATATGACTAAAAAATGTTTTAATAAAGGATTGTGTTGCTCACCAAAGAGGCCATAGTGAATCCGATGACTTCAATGTAGCCATCATCGTGGCGCTGAGGTTCAAAGTCATGGTGATCGCCTGGGTTTCCCCAGGGCATTGTGCCTGCACAATACCTGCAAGGTGAGATCAAAACCAGAAATAAATACATTCAGTCCTTCTCGTGAGTATCTTTGGGGATTAGTTTATCGTGAGGCTTCAGTGGTTACTTAGCACAAGGACAGTTTTCTCCTCTTGGTGAACATCTTTCAACAGAAAAGAGAATGGAAGTGACAATGGGCCATACTTTTAGGGCAAAAGCATTCTGTATCCAGCGCTCTCTGAAGTCGTCACCAACATTTTCCACTCTATGATTCACATACGTCTGTTTTCGATGATCTATCACGAATTGTCTCTAGGTGGTTTCAGAAACTGGTCTTGAAGGAAGACATGTTCATTTTAATGGAACAGAGACAGGGAACTGAGCTGCACAGCTTTTGCCATTATAGATAGAAGAAAGCAAGGACAAGGTAGAGAAAGCCAAAGAAGACAGGAACAAAAGCAAGCCTGAAACAAGGAAGGACGTGAAATTGAAAGTGCAGAGGTAGAAGAGAAATTAGAAAGGAGAAGGAGAATCCAGACGGGGGACAGAGGGAGAGAAGGAAAAGAAAAACAGGAAAGGAAGGAAAAGAGAAAAACTAAACAATGAGGAAACCAGCAAATAATATTTCCTCGATACTGAGGCTTTAACTCAAGCTAAAATGAAGATACCTCTGAAATGAAGTTGCAACTGACAACACTGAGTACTGCTGAGAATAATTAGAAGACTGATGTTTTCCTAGATTTATATACAACTCTCCTTTCAATTAAATTACAGATTTTATGTCTGAGTTGTTTGGTGGGCTAATAACACAGGGCTATAGACCCACCGCTTCCCAAACGCTGGCTTGGGAGCCTGGACTCTTACTTTACGTCACTGAGATAGTATGCTTATTTTGAGCCTGGGTCATCCGACATGCCTCTTGCTCCTGAGGGACGTAATAGCACTAAAGAGAGTTGACATCCTGGCTGGAAAACGCCTCTCTAATTGATCCTATTTTTTTTTTTTCAAAGCAATCATCTGGCAATGATTTTGAATGAATTCCATGCTCAGATCAGCCTGGATGGTTTCCTAACAGCTTTTGGGAAACGAAGAACAGGGATTTATTCCCATCTGTCATTCTTGGAGGCAGGGATCAAGGGAAGAACTACAATTGAGAATTAAATGAAAATGTTCCAGGAGAGAGGGGTGCCTGTGTTTCTTAAGGATGGGGAAAGTGTAGACCCTGTGTGTCCTCTCACCTACCCCAGAGCATACTTTAGAAATAAACCATGTAGAAGAGAATATTTATCAGACCTGGAAACCTTCAACCAGTCGTTAAGATAATGGAAAATCATGAAATGGTTTATACCTGAAATCCTTCTATTATGAAAACACATAACTTCAAGTGAAACAGCGTTCACCTGAATCCAAGGACATGATGAGAACAGAGCTTACCTGGGTATATTTAAAAATACTATACACTGGAACTTCAGTTCCTGAATCTTTGGGGTGAGATCTGTTCCATCACACTGCAACAATCAAAGCAGAAAAAGCAAGAGTTTTGAAGCAGTCACAAGTCTAAGATTACTGAAGGTAACTGGGTTCATGATAGGAATGGCATGGCCTTTTGCCCATTGCCTCTAGTTCTGTTTAAATAGATGCCAGTCAGTGACTGAAAATTCATTCTGATTATGGCTCTACGAGACCCAGGGTCCCCAGCTTGATTTTGCTTTGATGTAATATAAAACCAAAACTGCCATTTGACCAAAATGATTTCCCCCTCTCTGGCTTCACAATCAATGGAAATACTTGAGCCTGCATGATGATCAGATGCTTAGGCCTGTAATACCAATACTGGAAGGCTGATGAGTATTTAAAAGAATAGTAAGAATGAGGCCCAAGCTTAAGACAGCAACATTTACCACCATGGTCATCTGATTCCAACAAGTCATGGATATAACCATTTATTTTCTTTGAGAAGGGTTTTATTTTGAAACTGTTAAACATGTTACTTTGGACAATTTCTAAAGGTACATATTTTTGCAAAAGTTTTAAAAGTTTTCTATCATAAATTTGTATCTTCTCTAACAGATCATCTTATCGTGGCCACAGGATATGAATTCTATGTTTTGAATATAGTAGTTAATAATCTCTCATATGGGTGTAAGATATGTATATGGATCCTAGGCCAAGAAACACAATCCGTTAACAAGTGAGTTGTTCTTAGAAATTTAATCTCTTACACACTTGGAAGGGACATCAGGGATAAACTCTTTTCCTGGGGCTTGGACATAGCCCTGGGTCTCAAGAGCCTAGGGCCAGTTTGGCCTCAATAGCTTTGGGCACGGCTCCCCTGCTGGGTTAGTGCTTCCTCAAGGGTGTCATTCTCTGATTAATCAAAGAAAAGCTTTCAGTTCCCACTGGTGACAAAATCAAACTCCAGTCATGACTATAGGTTCCTCAGCATCAAAGGTATAAACCCTGCTTTTATATTTCCTATCCTCACACCTCAGTACAGAATTTCCCCATTATCTTCCTGTTCAGGATTCTAAGCTCCCTGCAAAAGTCTAAAAGTTTCCTTAGAAGAAGTTTTGATCTAAGCACCATGATTTTTCTTGCAGTCAAGGTTGTCTCAGCTTCCACATTCATTCCACAGCCGATCTTACTACAGCCTCATTTTATGAACATTATAAAAATTGTTTCCAAGAAATTTTAATGTCCTAAATAAAATATTCCCAACGTTCAATTTGCATAGGAATCAGAATCTAGACATTGATTTTTTTTTTAGTACTCTGATATACTAAGCAAACATAAAGTCTCCCATTTTATTTAAGGACTTGAAATAATTCATAGATGATTATGCCAATAAAGAGAAAAATTGAAGACATTTTAAAGTATCAAAGTTGAGTGTTAGAAGCAACTAAAACTTCCAGAAATTAGGATCTGAAATAGTAACAGCATGCAAATTAGTTTTGTTGCATTATAGGAAAATACTATAAAATATTAATATGTTTAGAATACAATTGATTATTTGAGTTTCTACCTTTTCCTCCTGGCAAACATATCAGTGATCCTGGGAACTCATCAAATTGTAGAAAGCTGAGCCCTTCACAAGGCACAGCACTTTATAAAGTTTTCTTGGGCATTATGGCACTAAAATGTATAATTTGGAACAGCAATTTTCAAAAAGGGAAAAATCAACAAGCAAAATATACCCTTGTGTAGAAGCTCATATATTGGTACATTAAATAACACCAAGAAAAAATATGTAGAAAGTAAAAGCAAATCATTCTATTTGTAGGTTTTCGTGGCTTAGTATTTAAATATATTCTATATCTATACGAGAGATTATTAACTAACATACAAAACACAAGAGGACTTTATCTTTTGGCAAAGATAGGGTGGTCTGTTTTTGATTATACATCTACGCACTCTAGCTAACCCCCTTCCTTTTTATCTCCCACTCAGAAAACATACAATGATGTCACTGCAGAACTATCTGTGTGTCCTTCTGTGTCATGGGATGGCATTCAAAAACCTTAAAGGAAAGCAAACTCTTCTGAAGGTTGTGATGTCCTCCAAGACACACACCTCTTAAAGGTGCTCCCGAGACTGAGTTTCAAAGATTCACAATGGTTTCTAGCGGTTTGCTCCTTCTCCCAAAAGATATAATTGCATAAATATTTCACCACAATATCACAAATATTGGTTGATATCAAATCATTCATAGCTACGTGCTGCCATTTTGGTCTCTCTGTAAGCTTCTTTTAATCGCCTGCTATGTGGCCACCCGTGTATGAGACATTTATCATCAGTAAGACTGCCTGATGTGAGTGAAACTCTAGTAGTTAGGAAGGACACAGAGTTTCAAGTCCAGGGCTAACCTCACCTGCACACTGACATTCAATAGGGTCACTGCCCAGGGTGCCTGGCTCTCTTGGCAAACATGGTTAACATTCTTCTAAACGCAGAATCCTGCAAGGGGTGGCAATATTTATTTTTGGCTGGGTTGCAGGCAGCTGAAGAAACAAGGGAAGTTGGTTTAAGGCTGCTGCTGCATATATTTAACAATCATAACTTTTGAAAATGAAGATACTCTTGGTTCAACAGGCCCTTTGACTTCAAGAAGGTAATACTTCAGTTTTCAAGAGTCTTCACCACTAAATGATACTTGATTTTCATTGCTATTACATGAGAACTTAACCATCTGAATGTGGTGGCAAGGGTTATAACGAGTGGTAAAGATCATTACCTCTCGTTTGATCTGATTTAGGAAAGTCCAGCTTTGCTGGTGTTTATAGATTTTCGTTTGTATGCTCTTGTGCTTCTCGATATTCCCATTCATTTAAGATCATATATTTTCCTACCTTCATATACGTGCATATATATACTCTATATAATATGTATACATAGAGATTAGTTCTCACATATTCTTTATGCCATATAAATTCAGGTGTTGCTATATTCCCATTACTTCTCCATATGTAATTTTTCGTTTACTGATGTAACTATGCACAACAAAGCCATGTTCACTCCTTCTTTTAACTTGGTTGCTACAGGAAACATTTTATGTCTTCCTTAATAACTAGTGACATGCTATTGTAGAATGTATCACCTAGGGAAAGGTAATTTATCTACCTCTCTCTGTCTCTCTCTCTGTCTCTCTCTCTCTCACCTCCCAGCAGTATATGTTCAAAACCTGGCACAGAGACCTAAAAAGAACAAGTGCAGTATAAAGAATCCACTCAGTGGGCAGGAATCTTGATGAGGCTGGAGAGTGAATCACCACAAAATAATAAATTCAATGCATTGTTCTAATATGGAGACCTCTCAGACAGCTTTGAAACCAGATATACATTTGGTAAGCAACTACTCATGTTATAAGCCCCAACTCATTACCATTTCTTTTGCAAATGTTTCCCTGTATAATCAATTATCATTTCTGCCTTTGTGCCACCACCATAGCACTTATACAGTGGATAACACTTATTATATTACTCTGCAATGATTTACCTGCCCTTTCTCCTGACTGTTTTGAAGTCTCTGCAGGAGTGAAATTAGTCTATTTATTCCTTTTATTTATTTATTTGAAAGGCAGAGCTACAGAGAGGCAGAGGCAGAGGCAGAGAGAGAGAGTCTTCTATCTGCTGGTTCACTCCCCAACTAGTCACAAGGCCAGAGCCACACTGGTCTAAAGCCAGGAGCAAGGAGCTTCTTCGGGTCTCCCATATGAGTGCAGGGGCCCAAGCACCAGGGCCATCTTCTACTGCTTTCCCAGGCATAGCAGAGAGCTGGATCGGAAGTGGAGCAGCCAGGACTCAGACCGGCACCCATATGGGATGCTGACACTGCAGGCAGCACCTTTACCCGCTATGCCACAGGCCAGCCTCAGCCTATTTATTCTTAATTCCTAGGCACTAAAGATGATAAAGTGTTCAAAGATGATGGCTGCATGAAGTACACTACTTATCTCTGAAGCTCTCTGTAGGACAGTAATTAATCTCAATATATAAACCACTTTTATGGGGTTTATTTTGTGGATTTTCATATTCACCAAATGAAATAAACCAACATATTCAATACTTACAACAACTTTAACATGTTTGGATAGATCTCTAGAACTTCTTTGTAGGAAGTCAGAAAAAGCTGCCTATACCAGAAAGAAATAAGGAAAAATAAATTTAATTACATGATTATACCGCGTCCTTGCTTCCATAATACAGTTACCAATGAGTTCCAAGTATGCCAAAATATATAAGTTCTCCTTTTGCCGAATAAAGCCGTGCAGTGATTGTCAAGTTGAAATCTCTTTCTGTTCAATTGATAATGTATAATAATGATTAGGACCACAGAAGGAAGGTGAAAAGATGGACAATTCCAATTATCTGAATATTTCTATGATGCCCTTCCTGACCCTCCTACTTCTCGGTTAGAAGATACAGTCAAGATGAGATAATAATTGGCCAGAGAATGGCTTGTTTCATTCTCCTTTTGTTACAATGACATAAACTTAAAACACACTTTCTTTATTAATCTTTTGGATGCGGTATTTCCTTTATTCACCCCAAGGGATGTCCCTGAGGAGGAAAAGGAGGAAAAGGTGGCCCTTTAATCTCATACACACTTCCATGAGAAACTTCCTGTGTTCTGCCAATTTTTTATCCAAACGTTAAAAGCTTGTGTACCCCACTGAAAGTTACGTTCTTACCTAAGATTTTCCGTACATGTAGCCTGCCTAATTTCTCCATTCCCTGCATTAGCTTTGATGTCTGTTTTTCACATCACTCTTTAAATATCATCCATTTTTACAACATGGATTCTCGGGGTTTTCAAGTTCAAAGAGGAAAAACAATTCTCTTTCTGACACTAACTTAAGAAAGATACCCTTCCATTTATTCTTAAAGCAAGACGTTAAACATTAACCATACACATAAACATCTGTGATGTCTGTTATTATTTTTCACGTGCGTCGTTTTCACTCATGAATTTGTGTTAAATAATACATAATCAGGTAAAATGAATTATATACTTACCCCTGCATAGAACATTTTATTTCGGAAACGACTGTTGAACTTCTCTGGATTTGCTTCTGTGAAACAGGGAAGGTCGTTTTGTTATAGAGACTTCACGGAAGGCTGGAACTCAGATGAACACATTCACTTCCACCTCTTCCTTCCCCAACCTATGGACCCAGTAGGTCCCAGGACTTCATTATCATCTTTCCCACAGTTTCTACTCTTTCCTACTATTGGATAGTGGCTCACTGCCATGGGTACAGTTGTCTAGTGTTACAACAGTGTGGTTCCAAGCTGACAGCATTGGTGTTAACTGGTTGTGGCCAAACGTGCAAAATCCAGGCCCACTGAATTAGAACGTCTATGTGTAGGGCCTAGGAATCTCTGGTTTAACGAGGTCTTTGGGTGATTCTCAGCACATTCAACGTTGAGATGCTCTGACTTGTTTTTAGAATACAAGGCTGGCAGGGATATAAGGCAGGGGTGATGGGGGAATGAGGGAGGAAGACAAGAACAGTCATTCGCATTGACGTGTTTAGGATATGGTTTCCATAAACTATGAAGTTTCTACATGTATTATATGTGAGAAATTTGGATGCAAATTATTAGAGAATTTGGTTTCACATTTTGCAAAAACTCTAAACTACTATGTGCTCTCTTGGTTGTAGCAGGCCTTGGAAAAATCATTTTGTTTGGAGGAACACACACACACACACACACACACACACATACACCCTACTGAAACCATACGGCAGCAAAGCCTGTAGCTGAAAACTCATTAATCTTGAATTTGCTCCTGTATTTTGTATCGGTTGAAGACCCAAAAAGATGAAACAAGAATCAGTATTAGAGAATTTTCACATGAATTCAAGGAACTGTGAAATCTCTAAATGAAATATTATCTCCTGAAACATTCTTTCTACTCTATATTTAGCCTACTCCTAGGTCCTCCATAGGCTCATTATCTCCTACTCAGGCCAGGTTTTCTTCCTGTTACTGCTGATTAGACTGTCCTGACACTCTCCCAGTCTTAACCCTGTTTCTGAGCCGCAATTCCTGATAAAAGCAGCAACAGTCTCCCTCACTAAGACTGGGCAGAACAAAAGCTACATACAATGCCTCAGGAAATAAAGCTGCCCAATGATATTATTGGCCATGGTTTTAGCATATAACATAGAATTTGGGTAAAGGAAAGCAAAAAAATATTTAAAAAAAAAAATAAGGCAGTATTTTTGTAGTTTGGTTCTCGATAGTTATGCTCATCTATCTACAATTTATGTGTGTCACAGTTTCCTTACCACTCACTGTGCTTTACCAAATGAAGTACTCTAACCCTAAATGCTAAAGCAATCCAAAGGCAAAGGGTGATTTATAGGTCAGATCAAGCAAGAGGACTATAGTGCTATTAATGACTCCACCTCCCTGATCCTATTCCTCACCCCAGAGCTGACCATTTTTCAATCTGCTTTTGACCTTTTTAAAACCCAATTTGATTGTGTACCTCTTTCAGTTGTGTCAAATCCCTTTAAGGAAATTGATGGAACAAAGACATAAGCCTCAGCCATTCTTACTCATTGCCCAAAAGGTAGATAAACTTTGGAATGTATTCCTTGCCCTTGAATCTCAATTGCGTCTCACACCCTGTTGCTTTCATACCCACCTGTATTCTTTTCCAGGTTCTCAAGGCCCCGCCCAGTTCCAGGAATTCACCTCCACCTGCTGCCCCCTAGGCTCACCCCTATCCCTAGCCCTCCTAAAATATAAAAAGGCAGGGCCCCTGGGGGTCGGGCCTTCTGCCAGGTGTTCCATCAATGTGCACACGGGCAGTTGGTCACCCACCTCTACCAATTTATTTTCTCTGAATAAATTTGGTCTGGCTATAAATTCCTACACTGCCTCCTCTCTATTCTGTCCCTTTTTTCCTTAACATTTATGGTGTCCCTCGTGTGAAGAGGCACCAATCTGCAACTCTTCTCCTAACAGAAATAGAAACAAATGAGAATGTGTGTATTAAGCAATTTATCACTTGTACCTAGGCCTTCACTTCAGGCTGGTGCTGTGGTACAGCTGCCTGTGATGCTGGCAGCTCATATGGGCCACAGTTTGAGTCCCATCTTCTCCACTTCCAATCCAGCTCCCTACTAATGCATCTAGGAAAGCAGTGAAAGATGACCAATGACCTGGACCCTGGCACCCATATGGGAGACTTGATGGAAATGCAGGCTCCTGGATTCAACCAGTGCAGCCACTTGGGGAATGAACCAGCAGATGGAAGATCTCTCTCTCTCTCTTTCTCTCTCTCCCTCTCCCTCTCTCTTTCTGAAACTGTCCCTTCAAATAAGTAAATAAATAAAAAGTGGCATCAAGTATAAAGCAAGTCTTAAGAAATGGAAGAAGGCAGCTGCAGTTCTGGCGCAGACCTTCTCCAGGGCACTGATACCCACAGCGTTCAGTGAGTCACACAGGAACTCTTAAAGTAAGCTTTGGCTTGGAACACATTCTCATGTTGATGAGGCTTTCCAATGGGACCCGAAGAACTGAAATGCTTGTTTTTAAAGAAATAAATTTTTATATCAAGAGAGAAACTAGGGCTGGCGCCGCGGCTCACTAGGCTAATCCTCCGCCTAGCGGCGCCGGCACACCGGGTTCTAGTCCCGGTCCGGGCACCGGATTCTGTCCCGGTTGCCCCTCTTCCAGGCCAGCCCTCTGCTGTGGCCCGGGAGTGCAGTGGAGGATGGCCCAGGTGCTTGGGCCCTGCACCCCATGGGAGACCAGGAAAAGCACCTGGCTCCTGGCTCCTGCCATCGGATCAGCGCGGTGCGCCGGCCGCAGCGTGCCGGCCGCGGCGGCCATTGGAGGGTGAACCAACGGCAAAAGGAAGACCTTTCTCTCTGTCTCTCTCTCTCACTGTCCACTCTGCCTGTCAAAATAAAGGACTCATGCGACGAGGAGAGAAACTAGATAGACTATTTTCTGAAAGATCCAAAATTATTAGAATAAAATTAGAAATAAACTGAGTTTGGGGGATTTCATTCACATATGTATATAATCTCAGATATAATTTAAATAAATTCTTCTGGGGAAAAGGGGGAGAGAGAGATGAATAAGAATTTATTGATAGGTTCTAAGTTATAGACAGGAGAAAGAAGGTCTGGTGTTGAGTGACTAGAAATAATAATAATGTACTATGTATTTTTCTTTAAGCAGCCTCATACTGGCACAAGAATAGACATGTAGATCAATGGAACAGATTACAGACCACAGAAATTAATCCATGCACCTACAACCAACTAATTTGACAAACGCATTAAAATCACTCCCTGGAGAAAGGACAGTCTCTTCAACAAATGGTGCTGGGAAAACTGGATCTGTGCATTCAGAAAGATGAAATAGGACCTCCCACCTCATACTCTACACAAAAATCAACACACAATGGATCAGGGATCTAAACCTAAGACCTGAAACCATCAAATTACTAGAGGAAAACCTAGGAGAGACACAGAAGCTAAGATACTTCTACACAGCCAAGAAACAGAGAAGCTAAGATGCTTCTAAACAGCAAAAGAAACACTCAATGAAGTGAAGCTGCAACAGAGATTATGGGAGAAAATATTTGCAAACCATATACCTGATAAAATATTAATATCCAGAATATAAAAAGAGCTCAAGAAACTCAACAACAAACCAAACAATCCAGTTAAAAGATGAACTAAAGATACAAACAAGCATCTTTCAAAGGATGAAAACACAAATGGTCAACAGACACATGAAAAGATGCTCAGGATCACCAGCCATCAGGAAAATGCAAATAAAAACCACAATGAGGTTTCACCTCACCAGTTAGAATGGCTATCATCCAAAAATCAAAAAATAAATAAATAACAAATCTTGGTGAGGATGTGGGGGGAGTTACCTTAATACACTCTTGGTGGGAACGTAAACTAGTACAACCATTATGGAAAACAGTATGGAGAGTCCTCAGAAATCTGAATAGATCTACCACGTGATCCAGCCACTCCACTCCTGGGAATTTACACAAAGGAAATGAAATCAGCATATGAGTTATCTGGGGCCCCTGTGGCATGGCAGGCAAAGCCTCCACCTGCGGTGCCAGCATCCCGTATGTGCGCCTAGTCAGAGTCCTGGCTGCTCCACTTCCCATCCAGCTCTCTGCTACAGCCTGGGAAACCAGTGGAAGATGGCCCAAGGAGGGCCCTGCACCCACATGGGAGACCAGGAAGAAGCTCCTAACTCCTGGCTTCGGATCGGCATAGCTCCAACTGTTGCAGCCAACTGGGGAGTGAATCAGTGGATGGAAGATTTCTCTTTCTCTCTCTCTCTCTCTCTACCTCTCTACCTCTCTACCTCTCTGTAACTCTGCCTTTCAAATAAATAAATAAATCTTAAAAAAAAATTATCTGTACCCCCATGTTATAGCAGCTCAATTTACAATTGCTAAGATAGGGAATTAACTCAGATGTCCATCAACTAATGACTGGAAAAAGAAATTGTGGTCTATATAGACAATGTAATATAACTCAGTCATAAAAAAACAATGAAATCCTGTCTTTCACAAAAAAAAAAAAAGAAAGAAAACGTAATTGGAGAGCATTATCATTAGCGAAACAAGACAGTCACAAAAAGCCAAATATCACATGTTTTCCCTGACTTCTGGTAGTTAATATATGAGTACTCAAAAAATATAATGTATACGAATGAAACTGATTTGATTACTGTTTATAGCCCTTGTCTATAAATCTGAGGAACAATGTTTTTTCTACTTACTATTTGCTGAATTCTTCATTTGGTAGAGGGCGAGGCTTGTGACTATAAAGTAAATTGAAAATATGTATTGCCAAAATTAAAAGAAAAATAAGAAAAGGAGTAGGAGAGAGGGAGATAATGAGGTAGGTAGGGCAGTGTGGGAAGCATCATTATGTCCTTAAAACTGTGTATACAAAATACATAAAATTTGTTCCCTTTATATAAATCTTTAAAATTTAAGTTAAAAGAAAGAATTTTAAATATTTTCACCATAAAAATGATAAATACTTGAGGAGATACACGTGTTTAG